CATGAAACAAGACGAGCAAGTGAACAACACAAAAAACATAATGCAATCGGATTATTTCTAGTTTACGATTTTGGAGAAAAAAACCAGAAGCTTATAACAAAATAATTTTTCATATCATATGTCATCTCCTTTGTTTATTCATTAAAATTTTATTTTGTTTGTTAATAAAATGAGCTATATTGGACCATCAAACTTTATAAGGTCAAAATAATTATTAATTTGTTGGGTCCTAATTTGTTTCATCTTCTCTAAACATCAACCGCCGTCAACGCTTCCAATTACAGCATCGACGCTTCCAACTCGGAATCTTGCACTTCCACCACGGTTCCAAATGCCTCTTTTTTGGAATCGCGATTCCAAGGCGATTCCAGACGATTCCGAACGCTTCCGCTTTCGGAGCGAGAAATGCACTATCAATGGCGATTCCATGCTTCCTAGCTTGTATGTATTGATAACTAATACGTAATTGGGTCATTATTTTCACATAGCCTGGAGGGAAAAACCATAGCTCTGAAATAACGAGCACTTAAAGAATACGACGAACCTTAATGAGAGAATCTCTAAACTTGGTGATATTGATTTTGGAAAAAAAGGAAAAGAATTGAACCATTTGTATGTATAACAAATTATGTTTTGATATTTAATAACCTTGATGAGTAATGTTTGTGAAGTTTGTATTTGACATTGTTTCCTCTTGTGATCACAATAACATAATTTATAATTTAGTTTCCAAACAATGGATAAATTAAAAAATTTATGGTTTTTTTTTTCCTATGGATCATCTCAACAAAGATGAGAGAATCCTTTTGCTTAGATGATGAGCCCTTCGCTGGAGCTTCTTGTGTTGGTTCTCTTTCGCTTTGATGATCTGAAGAATTCGATTTATTGAAAGTTTTGAAACGTTAATCAAAATTACTGAAACTATCAAAAATTTCCCTACATGTTTTTTATTTTATTTTACAGCTCTTTCTCATAACCATAACTTCTTCAGTTTGTAATTTACCAAAGTATCAGCCATGGATGTCTCTCTAAAATTAAACCTTTGTCCTTTCGTCTATTTCACATTTATGGTTCAAAGTGTAGTTTGTTCTTGTGTTAATAGGGTTGTTGGTAGCAATTTTTCACGCCATCTTATCTTATTCGCGGTGAGATCTAATAATATGAGAAAACACGATTAGAAAAAAATAATTCTTTTTCAAAATTTTCAATACTCGGATGTTTTTGGTAGAATTAATATTTTCAATACTCGAATGTCTTTGGTAGAATTAATATTTCCAAACGAGTAATTAGATCATAAGTTGGCTCAACTCAACTCGGATTTTGACGAGCGCGAACTATGTTTTTTAGACTTATTTAATAAACGAGTTAAGTGATAAAATTTAAATGAGTTGACGAGTTATGCGAGTCAGTTCGGATGAGCAGTAAGCTAGCTCACGAGCAAATATATTTTTAACGATTCAAAATAATATATTGATATGTTGTAAATATATTTTAGATTTACCAACTAAAATATATATTCTCGTTCCCTTTTAACTAAAGCAAAAACAGAAACAATCTATTAAACAAATTTCGAAGTCGTTTTACCTAAACACGTCAAGTCTCTACTAAACAATCGATCTTGGTCATTTGGTTTTACAAACAACAATAATGGTATTATATTTTATTCACTTGTTAATTATCTACGTTAATTGTCGTTGTCTTATCGTATGTGGTATTGGATATGTTTTGATTTAGCATTCAATAACAATATTATTTGG